TATATATATATATATATATATATATATATATATATATATATATATGATACATTCTGTTCCCAGATGCTTTGGCTCCTTCAAAACTAGTAAGACAGGGAGACACATAAAAGCACATACCATCCGTTGAACACCGGGTGCGATCGGTACCCTATCACCTACAGTATCACGCCTGCTCATCCTGTTGGTTGATGCAGCTGGTGCAAAACGATCTTCTCTTGGCTCTACAATTACAAGAAATTTGCTGCTGCAGCTACGAAGCCATAAAGATCAAAAAGTATGAACCATAAGCTGATCCCATTGCAGGACTCCGTCGATTTTCTCCAGGAGTACGAGGACGAGGCTCCTATATAAAAGCGAAATAAGACCGAACGTAAAAAGTTCATAATGATTACACAACACCGAGCTGTGCTCATGAGTTGCCGTTGGACGAAAATTCGAAAATTATACAAAGGGACCACCACACGAAACACGGAGCAATGACCCACTACCACCAAAAGTTTATGCTCAGAAAACTATATACCGGCGAAGGCGAGCGTCGAAATGGAGTTGGGCTGCGAGAAGTCTGAAAATAACTACCACCACATAAGCGATGATAAACCCAAGGAGTGAAATTGCATACCCTTCGACGACTGACAGGCGGTGGGGAAGGGTTTTCCTCTAACAAAGCATCTTGTCGGCTTCTCCTCGTAGGTACTCGAACTGTGGATCGCGCACGACTTCTCCTCTCGACTAAAGTTTCGAAGAACAAGATAATTGAAAAGAATTCTATAGCAAGCTCATGCAGCCAATACTGATTAGAATAAAGCTCACATGCAAGAACAAAATCATTCCCTTAGTAAACTCGTATCTCTCAGTAGCTGCGGTTTCTGAAAGTTGACGGACATGCAAAAAGTCTTCGGGGATAAAACAATGGGAGGTGATGCAGACGCTTTTTAGAAACAAGCGAAGCTAGCTTAATGAAGTCCTCTACACATGAATTTTAGACTTGTCGCTATAAATGCAAGTCACAGCAACCAAACAACGACATCTGCGATATTTGTAATAGAAAATATTACGCACATTCTCAACAAAGGAAGCTCAGCCGATCGGAAAATAAAGAAAAAACTGAGAAATTCAGGGCTATAGCCAGGCATAGTCTGCGCCAAAAAAGGCAAAGCACAGGTGAAGGTCAGACTCAAGCGTGATCACCTTTTTCACCGTTGGCGCTCGACGAAGTTGCATCTGATTGTAAGTTCCGTGTGTCATGCGAATTCAGAGAGAGTGAGGACGGTGGTGTAGGAGGAGGAGGGAGAATCGTGCCTTCATCTTCAAAATGCAAAATACAGACATTCGCAAAACAGTCAACACTTGAAGAAGGCTAAGGTGACATTGAAAGAACATCGAGGCAATCTACGCTTCCTGAAAGGAAAAAAACTGTTGATCCTTTGAAACAAGTTCTTCTTACTAACGTAAAGCCGAAACGCAACTGGGGTAATTTAGGCGCTTTAGGAGAGATCTATTGAAATGTGTGTTCTTTACAAAAAAGGGCACGATCTGACATTATTCAATCAAAAAGTTATTCACAGACAGCTACTCTCAGCATTCATTTTTGACAAACATTAACAGCGCTCGATTACAAAACTTTTTTCGCTTTAACCACCCTTGTATACGTCGTGCATGTCTGTAGGATCGTCAGTCAGACAGAACACCTTGAATCCCATTCCTAACCGTACTTAAAATTTGCTCCGACTATTCGCGCAACGTTTTTCATCGCAACTGTAAAAATAAGCATGCCCATTCGGCTGTGATGGAATATGCAAATTGAAGACATTTTTCAAAACATGAGATCCAGTTCAACATGCAGTATCTTGCAACAAAAAAAAANNAAAAAAAAAGAGGAAACAAGCACAAAAACTCCAAAAGTTAAGAATGGAAAAAAACCAGAAACGCACCGTTCGCTGTCGACTTGTTCCGATTTGTTAGGTCAGTCCCAGCGTTATTATCTGATTGGCGAGTATCTTGAGGTGTTGCAGGCGCCGTAGATGGAACAGGCGGCTGTGTTGAATGTCCAAGGTCTAAACAGAATGCACATGTAGTGCGATACTTCAGCCTATAATCAATGATTTTGAAGGCTCGAAAGACAAAGTGCGAGGACCTGGAAAGAAAAACTTAAAACTTGTGAGATACATGAACACAAAAAGATTCATGCATCGAACTATCCAATAATCTTCGAAGTTATTATTTGATTCCGAGCATAAACAGGAACAAAACCCGAAAGTTTAGAAGAAAAGCTGAGTTTCTTTTGGGCACGATCTTGCAATTCAAACAAATGTTGTCTCCCACTAGCACCAACTTTTGTGTAGCGAAGCTTTACAAGTTATCAAAGCTTCAACAAGACTTCATAACGCTACCATCTTTACTTTATAGAACTTGTTGACTTTGATGCATGTTTGATGCGTGATAGAAAAAATGAGAACTTGTTGGAGAAACTCGACCTCACCTTGTTGATGCCCATTAGAAGTACTTGGTTGGGTTGGTGGGCATCGAAATTTACGGAACAAATCAGGATCATCTGTAGGCGGTGGCCAGGCAAATGATGTTGGTTTCGATACCTTTTCTGTAGGCTCTGAGGTAGGATCATTACTAGTTCTCGTCGGCCCATTTGAGGGCTCCGGGACATTATGAGCCGAGCTGAAAAACAGACAGTACGCTTATGCAATTCAATCATCAAATAATATCGATAAAGACTTACTTTTCATTATCAGTCGTGTCCATATTAGTTGGTGTTCCAGCGCGGCTTTGACATCTACTTCGCATAGCTCTTACGTATGCGGGTCTGCAAATTGGAGATGATTTTGTTGCATATATCAATTTAATAAGAAGGTGTCACCGAAGCATTACAGCCGGGTAATGTTTCGCAACAAATTATGCTCAGTCATAAAATGTAAATGTGCAAATATTTGTTTCCAAACATACGCCGCTTCTTCTACTTCATCGTCCTGTCTGGGAGTACGCGGAGTACCATCTGCATACATCGATGGCGATCGCATTGGCGGAGTGCCCATGCCTGCGAAATTTATAACGAAATCTTGAAAAACAGCATATGAGTACCACAACATTGGCAATGAGAGCCTGGGCACGCATCCTGAGGTGGAGCGGGGTAAGACTTGTAGGGGCGAGCCTACAAAACATAAACCGCTCAACCTTAGAACTTCGTTAAAGTTACATGCCCTGCCCCACCCTATGACAATGCACCAAGAACCCTCATGAACGTCTTGGCATCCGAGAATTCTCTCGGCATGCCTATCATACCTAAAGAGCATCGGACATTCAAACAACAGAGTCAGCAAATTGTGATACAGTAACCAGGACACTGGTCCTGGCTGGAATGCCCTTGTCAACTGAACGAACTCCCACTCTTCCCTTTGGAAGCTTGCCTGCTATGTGTTTTTGGTGCGTCGTACATGATCTGGTTTTATGGGCATTCTTCAACGTGCGCTGGGAGCGAACTTTCACCTTTCAACTCGTTTTCCGCTGCTGTAAGGAAAACTGGTCACGGCGTAGCAGAGTTTCTCAGGCCAGTTAAAAAGTCAACGACAACCGGCCATCACCTAATGTAGGCACCTACGACTCTACATTGAAGAGATTACGGAAAAGCGTGATTCATGGTAGCGACTTTGCTCACTGTAAGAGATGAGTCACTCTTGAAAGTAATTCACGATACATTTGGGGTACTCAATTTCAGACGAATAACGGAAGTTGTAGTCCAGAATATTGCAAAA